TATATCACAACTTTCTTTAAAATTTTATGTACTATATATTAACTGACAAATAGCTATCGTTTGAATTTAATATTTGCTGTAATAGGGGCCTTGCACTAAAAGCTTCTTAAAGTTTCTTAAAGGCTCCTAGCTCTAGTATTCAACAGACGTTATACTGTATATTCTATCTTAATTATGTAAATAGGGCGAATTTTTAAATAAATTTTTTTTTTTAAATAAACTTACGGTTTAAAATCCAAATTCAGTAGCTACTCGTGCTCGGCCTCAAGCAAACTAGCATTGCGAGATGCACGTCTCTCATACGCCAAACCATTGGCAACTTTGTTTAAAATCCAAATTCAGTAGCTACTCGTGCTCGGCCTCAATGAAATTGGCAACTGTGTTGAAAATCCAAATTCAGTGGCTACTTGTGCTCGGTCTCAAGCAATCATGCATTGCGAGATGCACGGCTCTCATACGCCAAACACATTGGCAACTTTGTTGAAAATCCAAATTCAGTCGCTACCCGTGCCCGGTCGCAAGAAATCATGCACTTGCGAGATGGACTGCTCTTACATGCCAAACACATTGGCAACGTTGGTTAAAATCCAAATTAAGTAGCTACTCGTGCTCGGTCTCAAGCAATCATGCAATTGCGAGATGAACTTCTCTCATACGCCAAACACATTGGCAACAGCTAAATCCATAGAAGAATTTGTGCTCTGTCGCAAGCAAGCAATTATGTAGTGCGAGATGCACGTCGGTCATACGGCAAACATAGTGGTCCTCTTTCGCTCAAGCAAATGCAATAAACTACGGAAGCTCGGAGTGAATCAATCATGCAGTGCAATGCGCTCCCATACCATACGAAAACACAATACGCAATAACCATTTTATTAAAGGCGAAAGGTAATCACTATAGCCTAGCTATTGTTCTTTTCAACAATTGAATCTTGCGAAATACACGACCCGCTCGCGTAGAACATTAAAAAAAATTAACAATGCTAAAACCAGACGGGAATCATTCATGCGTCGCAATCTCAACTGAACTAAAATATGAACCGAAAGCGAACTTGACGGTAAATAACCCCGCACAATGACCGAAATACACATCAAATGAAGATATAATGTATAACATACAACAGAACTGTAACTAAAACCACAATTAAACACACACAGAAAAGAGGCGGCCGTAGTATTTTAATTCCCGGATCAGCCGCCCACGAGTGAACCATGCATGCATGCGTTATACAACGAAAAGATAACTTCGCCACACCGATCATATACTGCTAACAAAGCGATATAACTACCCAAAGCCCAAAGGGCAAAAATCTTAACTAGACCCACAAAAAACACGCTGCAATACAGACAAATACCAATATGAATAAAAGAATCACGTCCAAGTCCAAATTTGATGCCTGAAGCTGTTCATTTTCAATTGGATCATTCACCGGCGAAACTGGTTCATTCTGAGGCGGAGCGGAATCAAGATCAATCGGTTGGGCAACAGCATTAAGTCGCAAGTACCGCTTCTTGTAACGTGCAAGGAGGTCGAACAGGCGTGGAGCCATACTGTAAAGTCCGTAAATTTCTTTATCTTGCACTTCTCTGTCTTGGCGATCAGCACAGAAAGAGCAGTTACAACCTGTAAACTAGGGTTTTATGCATTGTACATCATTATTTATTCATAAAACAACGTTAATTACTCAAATGCCATTAGTTAATCAGCTTCCGCTGCGTGTTTGGCCAATTTGAATAGTTAAATATTTACATGCAGCCTGCTACTTTGGTTTAGGTGATAATTGAAAGGATATATCTCTGTAGAGTATGCATGACGGATCTCTCTATCGAAGGACGGATCTCTGTGGAGATATGAATGCGTTTGCCCTGAAATCGGCTCGAGAACTTTCCAGCGCTATTGATAGTAACACACCATGATACCAGTAATGTATCAATTGTATTCCAATCAGGATTGGGAAATTCCCACATAAATTATACTCAGTTCTAGCTAGTTTCAAACGACCCGAAACAAGTTAAACCATGCAGTAATTAGCTATATATAAAATATATAATTGTCGAGTAATCGAGGGTATAAGTTGAGGTCGAGGGTAAAGAGTCGAGGGTCGAAACACAAATTTATTCTTGTGATAATTGTGATAATTGTAAATAATGACATTTTTGACTGCGAATTTTAACTTCGACGTCACAGCCGCCATGTTGGTGTTCCAATTCAAAATAATTCTTTGTTTGCAATCACCGAACACGTGACTTTTCATTTAAATGACTGGCAATCAAACAACTTGTGGACGATTTTTCTCCTATCAGAATGGTTGTATCGAGAAAAACTGAACGGTAATTCATCTTTTGAGTCTTAAACTATCTCTAAACTCGATCAAATGTTGCGAATCTGGCCTTTCAGAACCCGGGAAATCGGGCTGGAGCACGCGTTCGTTAATTCTTTCTGCCACTTTCATTTGATCTTATCCGTGAGTCGGCCTCAACGGTTTTTGATTTGTTATACCTGGGGCCGGTTGTATAAAACTCTTAATCACTTTTTTAATCGCTATTTTGTAGTTAAATAGTGATTAACTCTCAAATAGGCGCTTCTTATTGGATGACGTTTGCACTTAATCATAGTTAACTTTAATCACTTTTTTATAACAACCGGCCCCTGCCCGTCAACTGAAATCCGGCCAAAATTACGTCATTGCAAACAATTAGAATTTTAATGGTGATTCCAGCTATAGAAGAAATTTTGATCTAGAGAAGAAGAACGAAATCCATTACCATAGCTGGCAAGAGCATCTTAAAATGAGTAAAATCCCAAAGTTTGGTTGCGAATTGTTGCAAAATGAGGAAAATATAGCCGCCCTGTGAAGTTCGCAAATTTTGTATATATTTGCATCACGCGCGTGACTGAAAAATAACCATCTTTGAGCCCAGGGCCGTACGCAGGATTTTTTCACCAGGGGGCAGTATTAAGGCCTATATGCCAAAAAAAGTCCCAAATATCCAAAGAATAATTAATAATGTCATTCTAAAAATCGTAAATATAGTTTTCTCGGGGTATTTTTACCGCGCGTAATACAAATATATAGTACAAAATTTGCGAACTTCACAGGGCTATATTTTCTTCATTTTACAACATTTAGCATCTTTGAAGTTTTACTCATCCTAAGACGCTTTTTCTAGCTGTGCGTGTGGTGTTGGATTTCGTTCTTCTTGCCTTGATCAAAATTTAGTCTATAGCTAGAATCACCCATGCATTGGACTCTTTTCAGTCTCGAACACCAACATGGCCGCCATGACCGCCGTTTTGTTGAGTTGGTCCTTGCGGAATGAGTGCAAAGGCTCTATAGCTCAGATCTATAGCAGGAGTTTTAGACGTCGTCCAAACTTTGTTGACAACGGCAAAATGCATACTGTTTTCACATCTCGTAAAGTACACACGTAAAAACGCACAAGTTGTTACAGGTCTGCAAACAAGTTGTTACAAATCTGTTCACAAGCTGTCAACAAGTTGTGTTCGCACAGCTTTTTCCCAGTACGTTGTTGGAACAAGTTTGGAACAAGCTGTTAACAACTTGTAACAAGCTTGATGGCATTATCAGACTTGTTACAAGCTTGTTCTAACAAAGTCTGATACAGTCATGATGAACAGGAATATGTTACAAGACTTACAAGGTTGACGACACAAGGTTGTAACAATATTGTTATATCATGACTGTATCGGACTTGTTGGAACAACCCTGTAACAAGTCTGATAATATCAAAAAGGTTGTTACAAATTGTTAACTGCTTGTTTTGAAACTTGTTGACAATTTGTGACAAGCAGTGCGAAGACAACTTGTTGACGGCTTGTTGACAAACTTGTTACCGAGATGCGAGATTTTTGCGTGTGTACACTAGCATTAATTTACTCGTTCGAAACTGTATTAAATTCATACTAACGGCTTATTGACCGAGCGTGAGGTCTGTATTAAATATCAGACCGAGATTTCTTAGTATGGACCGAGCGACGAAGGAGCGAGGTCCATGCAAAAAACAGAGGTCTGATATTTCACAGTACAGACCGAACAAGCGAGGTCAATAATCGGTTTATTATATGGCTGAACTGAGTCTGTGAGCATATGCTTTTCGCGCGAATTAAATCGCGGCTATCGTTAGTTTCACTGGGTAACAATATACGGTAGGCATGCATGCTCAATCAAAAACAGTTTGGTTATTTGAAATTTTTATCTGTAAATTTTAACGAAATTTTAACGACTCACAATTGGAAAATTAAAAAGCAAAAATTTTTCTGTTTGCAAAGCAAAAATTTCCCTCCAGATAAACGACATCCGGGACACCGGTCCAGTACGGAAAATACGGACCACGGTCCGGATATGGGTTAGCCTGCGAACATCAACCAATCAGAATAGAGAATTTTGAAAAGCCATGTAATAATAATGTGTATTATAGCCGGTTTTCCACTAGCGAATTTTTTCGCGCGAAGCGACCTTTTCCCTTTGTCGGCATCCATTTTGCACGTCTTACAGCCCGCCGCACACGAGAGCAACTTGCTGAGCTAACCGCCTCGCGTGGCAGCTAGCTCAGCTATGCATTTTCACCGCACACGTTGGGAAAACTACTCAACAACAACATAATTGACAAAATCATTTGCATTTTCCTCCATTTTGTTCCAAGTCACATGAAGAAACCATGGTTTGTCATTGGCTAATTGATTCAAACAGCTCAGCACTTAGCTCACAACATCCGCAGACGCTGAGATTTTTTCCTCGCGAGGCGAAAAATATCAAACACGAAAGATATTTTCCTCAAGGCCTCGAGAGGTCAAATCCTCACGAAAACTATCCGCACACGAGATGCGGGCTTAAGTGATATCGACAAGTGGCCCGAGTGGGGAGGTCGCCGAAATAATTTTTTCGGAAAAAATTTTTTAGGTACTAGTCGGGCACAATCCCGAAAAGTCGGGCAAATTTCTTTCCGCCCCCCTAATAGCTCAGTGGTCTGTACCTTTATAGATACTCTTGGGTCTCCTTTCAATTTCACAATTGGGACTAGAATTTGGTTTAAAAAATGGCTGGGGAATGGGATTTAGAAAAGAAAGGGGCTTGGAAATGGGATTTAAGGCTGTTTGCAATAATCACGTCTCGTCCCAGCAAAGCGGGATCATGCATGCAAAGTTTGCATGACTCCGCTTTGCCGGGACGAGACGCCAGATAAATAATTTCGATGCATTGAAATAACATCAACAACATCCCTTCCCTTTCCTTTCCCGGTCTGCAAATTTGAGTAGAACACTAGAAGTAGACTGCACGTTTGTTTGAAAAAACGTTTTTTACTCGGGACTCTTCGACCGTACTCGACACTCGAGTACTCGACAATTATACATTTAATTTAATTCATTGCTGTTTATTGTTCCTCGATAAATTCTTTTTTTACACTTGACCTCTCCAGATCCATGTAGTCTTGTGACCAATATAACCAATATAACTTGGCTCGTATTCAAACAGGAAGTTGAATAACTAATTTAAATCGATCAGATGCCAAAATATCGAAAACCGTGACTGATTTCCCTGCGGTCATTCATGCATGTACAACTCTCGTAATGCGTCGATCTGGTCGCATTTTTGTTGTCAACTGAAGCAGATTGAAGCAAAATCCTGTGCTTGTATCTGTCAAATCTAAATTATTATTATTATTATGGTCAGGTAGAGTTTTCACTTTTACAGTAAGCTGCACAAATATGTGCGTGACGCGTGAGGCACGCCTCACTGCTGCCCACTTCCAAACCTCCAATCCAAATACATTTGCGTAGGTCATTTCCTTTGTACCTTCCTTATTTGGGAGCTGGTGATGCTGTTTATTTTATAATCATGTTGAAACCTACCGAACTGCATGATACCCGCGAAATGTGCGTCATTTGGTTATATCCGAAGCCAGATGACAAGAACTCAATGATTTCCAGTTTTTATTTTACTTATCTTTCACAAAAAATAAACCACAATGTACAGACAGTGCAGAGCTATCACACGGCTTCGTGTGGCAAACATGCGGCTGGGAACAACAACAACACAGCCAATTTTTGCTGTCTCCAGTCGGTGTTGTTCGACCGGCGTCTCAAAGATTGAGCAACTATTGCCTCAAACGGATCAATTTCCTTCAAGGCATATTGGATTGAACCCTGAGACTGAGCAAGAAATGACAAATTTTTTAGGTTTGGAGGTAGGTCTTCAAATAGATTTTATAATTTGGAACTTGGCACATATATACGACTGTTCAACTGCAATTGTTTTGCAATTTAAGAATATCGAGGAATTGGTGGATAAAACAGTACCTGTTGATATACGCTTTCAGGGAGAAATGGATATTCAAGGCAGTAAAGGTATATTATATGTTACTAGCTGTATAGTATAAATATACGTTTAATATGGGAGGATCGACTTTATTAATAAATGTTAAAAACAAAGTAAGAAATAACCTGGTGCGATAAGCCAGATTAGGCAGAAGTAGAACTGGAAGTGAGGGATTATATGCTAAGGTCCTCATGTTAAATAGATGATTGTTATTACTTAAATTGTAATAGAATTTCAGTTTTCTTTCTGTTTTATGGATAATTATTGTATGATAATTAAGTTAACCTGGAATGTTGAAAAACAAATTTTTGCATTTCAAATGAGGCTCCTTGCATGGTCAAACCAACAAGCCTTGTTCTCATACTTGGTCATTATCACACACAGTACACTATTGTTAGTGATACACAGTATCGAGATTTTGGCTTCGCACTCAATTCAATAACACCCGAAGGGCCCTGTAGATGGAAATTATCGAGTGGAAACCTACATACATTCATTAGACCTAATTACCAGGTCTAATGAATGTATATAGGTTTCCACTCGATAATTTCATCTTTGTGGCCCTTCGGCTGTTGTTGATCAATCTAGTGAGATGCCAATAAAATCTCGGTGTTTGCCAATAGCCTAGGCCAGGGGTCTTCACCCCTTTTTTTCGGCGACCCAAACCCAAGCTTCATAGGTGTCCCGCGACCCTGAACACTGCCAAAATTTGAATCAAGAATATAGTCGAGTGCTGAAACATTATTATTTTTATTACAGCTATATAACATCGACAGTATTACTCAACTGTTAGAATTATCGTTAATAACGATTGCAGAGTTCTTAACTTTCGCATCAAGTGTCATTTTTTGCCCCTGACAATTTTTTCATATCTCGGTATGTAGGATGTTGTGGCAAGCTTCATGTTAATCGACAAGTTCTCATTTGTCAGGCGGCTTCTGTATTTATTCTTAATGAACGTCATCGCGGAAAAAACTGATTCGCACACATATGTGGTTCCAAATCTCACCAATACCTTCTGAGCTATTGATTTCAGTTCTGGATATTGTTCTTCGCTGAGACTTAGCCAAAATTTTGATAGATCTGAATCAAATTCCAGTTTGGCAATTGGGTTCGCTTGGAGTTGGCTCAGTTCCATTGCAAACTCTTCGCGTGGTTTTCCGGTAAACGGCGCCTGTATGATTGTGAAATCTTTCACCTCTAGACCTGGAAATCGTTCTTGGAAATTAGTTGCAAGTTTTTGTAAATAGTCGCACAGAATCCGGACTTCGGGCGTCAAGTCAATATCGTCATCATTGAGAAAGCAGATCAGTTCCAAGAAACATTCGAAGTGTATAAAATTGTCCTGGATTGCTTCTTCTCGTAGCACGCCAAGCTTGTTTATGAAACCACGGATGCTGTTGTGTAACTCGAACACAAACTTTCCCCGTCCTTGTAGATTTGTATTGAGGAAGTTCATATGAGTAAATACGCCAGTCAAGAACGCCAGCTTAGCCAAAAAATGAGGATCGTTGAATTTAGTGGCATTTATATGACCCTTCTCTGTCAAAAATTGATAAAGTTCCTCTCGAAGTAAGAACACCCGCTTCAGAGCGCGACCACGTGACAGCCATCTCACAGTATTGTGAAATCGCAAGGTTTCATATTCGGCATCATTTTCTTCGCAGATTTTTTTGAAGAGGCGTGCATTCAAATCTCTCGCTTTCACGAAATTGATCACATTGATTATGATGACCATCACATTTTCAAATTCGACCGATAGGTCCTTGCTCGCAAGGGCTTGCCGATGAATAATGCTGTGGTTGAATTTCATGTCGGGATTGACTCGCTTCACTCGCCCTTTAAAGCCGTTCATATCACCAATCATAGCTGGTGCACCGTCTATGTTGCATTCGCTGATGGATCCCCATTCAATGCCACTCAACGCGAAAAATCTGCTAACAATATCGAAAATATCTTGTCCTTTAGTCGTCGTTTCCAACGTTAGTACCTCAAGTAACTCCTCTTTCAAGTTTTCTCGTGGACTTATATATCTCCCATATAATGCCAAGCTGTGGCTGCGAAGTATTGTCAGTTGATTCATCCAAGGCAATACTCTTTTGGGGCGATTCTTTGAAATATGAAATAACTTGCTGTGAAATATCATTTGCACAATCAACAGTTCTTCTCCATACTGTCGTATCACTCAGCGTTACGCTGTCGGCCGCTGTCTTCACTTTCCTGTGGAACGATTCACCCTCAAACAATTCGACGAAATTCTGGAGGCTCGGCTTTATCATTACTTCACCCTCGACATACGGTCGTTTGGATTTCGCGATTAGGAAGGCCGTTTTCAGAACAAATGTTTGTCTTTTCTGTTCCTCATTTAAACTTCCCATCATTATTTGTTGTGATTTATCAAGATTGGCGGCAAGTTTCTCGAATACTCGCTTGCGAGCATCTTCCGACAAAGCAAATATATTTCTATGTGTCTCTAAATGGCGCTGAAGTTTGTTGGGCTTTATAGACTTTGCTGCATATACGTGTGGACATTTTACACACAACGCCCGCCCATTGACTTCTTTCACACCGTACTTACCCAGCCAACTGGGCACGATGCTGCGTTTAGGAGGCTTCTTATTAATCCGTCCCAATCACTCAACCATGTCTTGACTTCACAGGAAAGAAGGGACTTCACAGGAAAGAAGGGTTAATAAACTGCTATGCAGCCACAGGGGGCTGAGAAGTAAAATATGTCAATTAATTTACCTTCAATATATTTTCATAACATCAAAATGATCAAATGCAAATAAAACTTTCGATAATTAAAAGCATTATGGCTTTTCATCGAAAGCTTCCGAGTGTATGACGACGACTCTACTTCGGAAGACGACGTGCTCCGAAGGCGTGCCGAGTGGTGCTAAGCCGTAATGTTTGAGTTACATGAAGTAAAAGGTATTATATCTAAAGCTTTACCAGTTTACCTGTTCACCATATTATTCTAGCAATCTAGCGCTTGAGTGCTTCATAATAATCGTGAAAAAACATTATAATCGCAAATTTCGCAAGGAAATATTTATATGTAAGTATGTGCATCTTATCACTTGATCTCTCGTCTTGTAAAGTTTACTAGTGTAAGTTCGCGACCCTAGACAAGCATTGCGACCCATGCGACCCAAGACAAGCCTTGCGACCTTCGAGGGTGTGCTAGCGACCCAATTTTAGGTCGCGACCCATGGTTTGAAGACCCCTGCGCTAAGTCATGCGGTGGTGCTGAATACTTTCTAACATTCACAGATGACAAAACTCGTTATATTTGCTTGGGTGTATCCATTGAACGAAAAGAGCGAAGTGTTTGGTCGGTTCTTTGAGTGGCATGGGAAGCTGTTACTGAGAAATCAAGTGGACATAAGCTAAAAACTCTGAGAACTGATAATAGTGATGAATTTACTTGAAATGAATTTGAGAACTATTTAAAATTAGACGTTTAAGGAGTTATGCATGAGTTAAGTCTCCCGAAAACCCCAGAGCAAATGGCGTTGCTGAGAGATTAAACCGGACACTTATTGAAGCAGTTCGAGGTATGCTTATTCAATCTAGACTACCGCACAAATTTGGGGTGGAAGTACTCTCGACTGCGGTTTATTTGCATAAACTAGGCCTACTCTGGGGCGGTAAATCGCCTTTAAATCGCCTAAAATCGCCCAAAATCGCCTAAAATCGCGGGTTAAATGGTCAAATTTCTTTTAAATCGCCTAAAATCGCTTTAAATCGCCTAAAATCGCTTAAAATCATGGGCGTACTGGGTGTGGGTGGGGG